TTTTGGAGAAAAAACTTGGAATAACTGTTATTTTTCCTTTCCAAAAGATATATTCAGTATTGTTATGGGAATAAAGAGGAAGCAGGAACAATAAAGGCTGTTTAATGGTTTATTTTTTAAAAAACACATAGACATTTTGTACACAGATAAGAAAAAGTGTGTCATCTTACAGTTAGATTCCACCAAAATGAATCTTTGCATAATCATTGACATTATTGAATAATACAGAGAGTTAGAAATCCAGTGAGTGTCAGTTTTGTAAATAATATATTTTTCTAACAAAATTACATTTATACAGAGGTGTTATTTTCACTTATGGGCCCAATGAAGTTACTAAATATTTTTGGTAAAGTTAAAATTAAGCTTCATAAATACACACAAAACTGATAATTGCCCTCTTTCATAATCAGGATGGAAGAGTTTGCAATTTTCTCATGATTTGGTGAAATAAAATCAGCCCAGATTTACTCGATTTTATTTCTTGATCCTTCCTGGGATTTGGATCAAAATTGTCTATGCAATGAAGACAGACTCAATTACACAAATTAATTAGCCATTGTCCAACTCTCCAGATTTCTTTTGCTGCAGAAAAAGTCATTTAGAAAAGTCACTAGAAGAAAAATTCAGCTGAGACAATATAAGATAACGTGGATACTGGGCCAAACATTTCTGATAGGTTGACTCATGTCACAGCTGTACACAAAGTGGGCTTTTTCACTAACACTTTTCCTACTGAGTGTCATTGGCGAATCTAAATCTAACGACTCCACAAATATACCTACAAACAGATTACATTAGAGAGAAAATAGTATTTATCTTTTTCCATCAATATGCAGAATACAATAGAAAAGAGAGTGTAACCTGAATCATTTTAAAATAAGAAAATGTATGCTCACATATGAGCAATCTGAAGTCTCGGTAATAAAATTGGCCTGTGGCAATACACATATAAAGTCTTTTAACTGAGTATAAATTTAGCTGCCTTTTCAGTTTTTAGTTAGCTTGTGTTTTTCTCCTTTTCTGGAGAGAGAGTTAATGTTATATTAGTTCAACTGAAAGAATTTTGAGTAAAATGGAACACAAAAAAA